CTTTCTTTAAAAATATTTTTCATGTACTCATATTTGGCACATATATATATATATATATATATATATATATATATATATATAAGATGCTAATTTGTTATATCCGAGCCATGTAACTGTCAGAATGTGTTTTGACCTTTGATCTCTGACAGCATCCATCAGCAGTGTGAAAGGTGAGTGACAATTACTGCAAAGAATTTAGGAATGCACTGCATCATAATCAATAAGAGTCCAAATGTAAGCACTTGCATGCAACTCTAGTCATTCACACACTACAGACTTTTAGAAAACATAAATATTTTTTTAGGAGTTGGCAAATCATTTTGTCACCAAATCAAACCATGTAATCATGATCACAGGCACTGCTGCATGCAAATAATCGTATCTTAGAATCTGAAGATCTACTGTGCATGTTTCTGCAGACAGTTCACTGAGTGCAGTTCCAACTTGCCCTGAGGTGATGACATAATGCTTTTTTATTATGATGATGATGATGAATTATCTCACTGATTTTGTGTGAATCATCTTATTGGTTTTGGATTTTAGTGCATGCAAACGCCACAGTCTTGTTTTATTTCACTTTTATGAATTGATCCATTTAATCATTCAATCATTCATTACTGTATTCGTAAAGAAGAGATGTAACTTTGGCTTGCAAACAAAAATGGAGCTAACGAGATTATTTCTGGCATGAATCATGAGCTGGTTACTTGCCATTTGTTCTCAAAGCTGATTGTTCATTTCATTCATAGCTGATAAACTAATTAGCGTATATGATTAATTTGCTAGTTCATAAATTACATAACGTTGAACAATTCCATTTCAAACAAACATGCCATTCAGTATTAGCATGGCAAATTTGAATTTGAAATGATCATGGGATTTTTATTGATCACATCTGACAGAGAAATTTCCTGTAAAAGAAAGAGATGCCAGTTTTCCAAAAACCGAAAGAATTCGGGTGCGTTTTAAAAGAAGTATACAATAATTTTATTCATAATTGTGTTTGTTTGATTCTGATTTTTAGTCATTATGGGATTAATTAACTTAGCTGCCTTTGCATTCCAGGGAGTGGAGGGATCAAACTGGGAAACGTGAAGACCTGTCAGTCTTTCTTAGCCCCTCCCACTCAACCTCCACATGCACTCTTGAAGAATAAACATCTGCAAAACATAAGGTGTTTTCGTTTGATTACATTCTTCTTTTTTATACTTTCCCCTGCTTATTGACTTTCAAAACCAAGATATTTTGTATTTCTAAGTAGGTTCTACGCAAATTAAAAACAAAACTTATTGATGGAATCATTCGGAAATACATGGCGCTCTGGAATACTTGATTCTGATTGGTCAGTCGCTGCAATAAGCGGTCAAATATTTCTGAATAATGGCCGCTGTCCTGGGAAACTCTGTATAACTGATCGCTCATCCAGGATCCAATGTTCGTGTCCAGTCTCTCTTTAAAAAGCCATGAACTGGAAAATGTGCGGTTTTTCGGTCATTATCAGTGATAATAATAATAATAATAATAGTGATAATAATAATAATAATAATAATAATAATAATAATAATAATAATAATAATAAATAAAAACTGACCTGTTTGCCATTTTGGAGGTTATTGTGATAATGTCGCCTAAACAAAATACAAAATTATGTGGGTATAAACATTAAAGTTATAATACAATTTTCCACTGTTTTGTTGGTGATGCAAATATTCATAATATGCCCTAATCCGAAACCTAGCAAGCATTTGGGATTGCTTGCATGCTCTCTCGCGTGCGCTCTCTCTCTCTCTCTCTCTCTCTCTCTCTCTCTCTTTCTCATTCCCAGGATACTCCAGGGGAAATTCTACCGGCATTCATGGGGGGGACGCGCAAGAGGGCAACCAGGGGAGGCTTTGGAAACTGATGGGTGGATCCCTAGCCTACTTTCAAGCCCCGTGATTTGCTAATCGGGATATTTTTCCCTTGTCGTTTTCCTGTAATCCAGGGTCTGGGTCCAGCCCTCTTGACGGTGAGGCGATCGAGCGCTCCGCGTCTCATTTTGATTAAAGCCCGAATCCCTTCAGTCTGAAGGCTGGGCGCAAGGAAAGGAGGATCGAAGGGGGCCCGGCGAGACAAAATACCCCTCACCTATGGCTGTTTAGAGCAGATCGGGCACATTTGGGATTGTAGAAGGGACATCATTTTCAAATAAACAGAGGTCGCCTTGTGCACATTTGTGGGCGCCCGACCATGGAGAGGCCAAGGTGGTCCCCAATGTGGAAAACGAAAAGGTGGCTTTTGGATTCCACTGTTTTCAAATTCATCACAGTTTCCCTCGTCCTGGTTCTGCAGGCTTCAAATGTCAGAGCAGGTAAGGAAAGATAGACTTCCGAACTTTTGATGAAGTTGTAGGGACTGTCAGACAGGAGATGCGCATTTGCGCCTGCGGATTTTTACGCGTTTGATTTAGACAGGTGATCGCAGATCTGTATCCCGTATATGTGTGTGTGCTGCAAGATACAATATTACTAGTGCCCAAATATTTATTTAACATCATAATATTAAATTTAAGAAGAGTCTGTGGAGTTCTTTAAAAAATAAACCCACTATTTCCCCAAAAGATAGTTCAGTATACATTTAATAATGCAAATTTATGTCACATAAAACAGATACAGATAAATCAGGCGTTGCATATCTACAGTATCTGCATAACATGATCACAATGTTCTACAAAAAATAATGTACTTTGAAGCAGTTAGTAGTGTAAGTATGCACTTATTTACCAACACGTAGACTTTGCGCACGACTTGGTTGCTCGCCCTCTGTCCATTTAATTTGCATATACTTTTATTAAAAAAGAAACATGCAATTTTATTTTGTTTATGCATATTTTCTACTCTAATACAATCTATGGGAGGGTGGGCAGGAGGAATGTGTCAAGCGAGTGTCATGGAGAGACAGTTTAGGATTAACTTCGGGGAGAAAAAAGCTCTTTGTTTGAACCTGTGGTCCGTTAGGTGTGTGTGGACACGGTTAGCAGGGTGGAATTCCTCAGGGTTTTACATCCATGCCTTACATTTAGGAAAAGAAAATGGAAAAATATCTGCTTGAATAGGGTGATTCTAGGGATGCGATTGTGAGCCAAAGTATGTGTATTCAAAGAGAGCTAAATTAATAAGGAGATTGTCAGTAATTGATGTATGCTAAGACTTAAGTGTTCTGGCCACATTTGTGGGATTTTTCTGTTTTAAATCTTAAAATCTTTAATTATGATAGTAATTTGATTTATAGTAATGAGACCTGGGAGGTCCAATTAACAATGGGCATGACTGATCGACTGATCATAAGTGCAACAAGTAATTTGATTATGAATACATATACAGTACATATGTATAGTGTTTTCTTCTTCTTCTAAATTTATATATCATATAGATTTTTTAGCATTTTTTGTGTCAAAGCACTTTAGCACCGCAATAGAGGTTTCCACCGGGTATTGAATTAGCATAGATCACAGTGGGTTACAGTCAAAATCACCCTTTCCCCATTCACCCCTAGTTCCACCATAGCCCAAGTGGGGGCTTTTGCAACACTATGTCTCTCAGTCCTCATGATGAGTTTCCCAGTGGGAATGCTTCTTTACTAAGTGCCTTCCCGTTATTTGATGACTGTCCTCTCTGCTCATCCCTATTATTTTGGAGGCTTCAAAGGGCCCGGAGCCATACAGGGGGCCCCAGCCTGGTCTTATGATAGGTCTCGCTCATCCTTACAGGAACAAAGGTCCTTGCAAAATTGAATTAGGCATTTATGTTGTTCAGAAATTACAGATGTAAATAAGATAATATATTGTCGTTGTTCTTATTTGCCACATTTCCTAAGGCTGCTTGAATATGACCAAAATGTGTGAGCGATACGGGCTTAATAACCCACTTTTGTCTATCAAAGCTGATAATGAATCTTAAAATGTATTAATGCCATTTGACTTCTGAAGCTACGCGTTACATCCTTTGCGGTTTGTGGCATGTGAAGGCATTTCTGTCAGGTGCCCTCTTGAGCTGGCAGTGTACTGACATGTTTTCTCAGCCCCTGGGGCTGAGGAACCTCAGATGTGCATTCCTTCAGACAATGCACACATTTCAGCCATCTTTGCTTACTCTTATGGTAGACAGTGCCGATCGGGTCTCAAGAACATTTAGGCTACATTCACGAGTCATGCCTTTGTGACAAAACTCTATGCATGTTTGTTGGCTAGAAATGTGGTTCAGTTCAGAAATGTTAATTGCTTGCAGTTCGATCAAAAAAAGTTCCAGAACAGTCCATCATAATTTGCTTAATCTCATGTTGTTCAAAACCTGTATGAATTTTTTTGTTTTTCGTGGAACACAAAAGGAGATATTTAAATTTTTTGTGAAAGCCCGAGCTGCTCTTTTCCATACAATAAAAGTGAATGACAGTGTTCCATGTGCATAAATGTAGTCTTTATATTAAGACTGTCTTAAGAACTAGTCTGACAAACTAGCAGATTCAAATTAGACCAATCTATGTTTTATGTAACTGATTTAAAGTTATGAGAAAAGAAAGTATGCAACCTGTCACTGTCTGGTCCTTATCCACTTTCATTCTGCTTCCTTAAGGGTTCCATGCAAGAAAAAGTTTTTGGAGCAACATGTGGGAGACCAAGTGTAACAAAATGTTTATTTTTGGCTGAACTGTCCATACTGGAATATGAGGTGAACTGAACAGTATTCTTGGGAAGCAGATGGTTGAAAGGCTTTATTGTTGTTTGATGTTTCTCTACAGTCGTGAAAGGGGGGGGAAATACAATTTGCAAAAAAATTCCATCAGTGAGGTTGCCTCACGGAGAGCCTGTGGCATAATGTGGTCTTGTTCAAGCAGCACGCATGTGTCAAAGAGGGGAGAGCGAGGGGACAAGGGGGATAAAGAGAGAGATAGTGGATGAAAGAGAGAGAGGGAGAGACATTCTGACTGAATTCATTATTAGAGTCTCGAGGAGCAGCAGGTAAAAAGGTCTCCAGCTTTTTCCACTCAATATCACCCTAAAAAAAAATTCAAAAATTATTCTGAATGTATTTCACTGGACCCAATGAAAGCGTATCCATCAGGACATCAGGTTATTTTAATGCTACATTTGTGTCTTCCTCTTACCATAATAATAGAACTTTAATTATGGTAACAAATCAAATTATAGAACTTCCTGTAGAAAAAGCCCCTCCCACTTTTGGGTGTTCCATAGAATCAAATAATGGCTGGTTTATGATCTTGATGATGTCACTCTCCCTCTCAGTTAGTACCTCCTTCCACATTCACACCCGATGTCTAATCAACCTTCTCTCCCAAACACACACACACACACACACACACACACCAGTCTGTCTAATGCAAAGCATGACAGTGAAAATGATCAGTGTGTGTGTTTGCACAGCAGTCTGGTTAAAATCACACCAGGTCATCAGCTGCGCTTTCCTAATTATGGCTCATTCTCAGTTGGTTTTCCAAAGGATTTAGGAGTATTGACATTTTTGTTTGGCACTTGCATGGCAAAAGGTCAGACTCAGGCTACAGCACCACATCTAGAATATATGAGGCCTGAGGTTATGGAGAACGTCTCCAGAAGATCCCTCACAACAACTCTCCTCCTCAGCTCTGTCATTGTATTGGTTGAGGTTTTCCTTTTGTCTAGCTTGTATGTTCGGTGTAGATTGAGCTCAGACTGAGTCTCTCAGATATAGTGTGGGATCATTTCATTCAGCACAAAAAAACGGCAAAAGAATGGTTTGTCAGCTTTGCTTTTTAAAACTTTAAATGGGGTGGTAAATGTTTTCTCAGCAGCAGGAATGCCTCAGTGTCTTTATTACAGCATTTTAGACCTCCCTCAGATGATTCCAGCCTTTTGTGACATAGCAGCCCTTTATTTTTGGTGGTTTCAGCATTCAGTTTTATGTGGTAGATGCCAAAGTCTACTCAAGTCCCAGAAGACACATATGGTACTGTTGGTAGACTCTGGATAACACCCAAGAGCCAAATATGTGACATTTATTCACAGTGAATCACAAAGAAACTCTTCTCAATGGTGCTTTCTAAGGTTTTGAGTTCTTCAGTGAAGTTCCAGGCTGATCCGGGGTGAACAGTGTTTGTCTTTCATCTTGCTTCGTTAACCATAGTGAAACCGTTTGTTCAAGTTTACTTAACCCAGCTGTTGCTGAAGTATCTTCCAAAGAGTTCAAGATGGAATCGGGTATTTTACAACAAGGGTCAGATCTCATAGGAATGAAGACCAGTGATTTGAGTTTGGTCATATAGCCAAGTAAAACAGATACTGGCCTCTTTTTTTGTGGTTGTGGGGCATACATTTTTTTTTTTATTTGATACACTCTCTCTGGTCATTAAACTAATGTCCACAACCTATTATATGGCTAACCAACTAGAGATACTTCGTTATGCTAATCATTAACTGAAATATAACCAGCAGAATCTTAAAATTTAAGAAGCTGTTTTATATTTGATCCTAGATTTGTTTTTGATATTATATCATAATTACAGTATATAAATATTTTTTATAATAGTAAATATCAACAATTTTATATATGGTAAACAATAGTAAAATATCGTAAAAATATAGTATTTAGATTATCCTAAATAAGTTTTGTTGAATCTTCAAATGTTGCTTGCATATTTATTACTGTATATTAGTTATTGTTTATTTACATGTAAGAAACTTTTGTCATTCTGTAGAAGTTTAACTTAAAAACATGAAAACAAATTTCTCAATTTATCTATGAGTTCAATATTTTTTTTTTTAAATATTATAAGTATCATTATAAAAAAAAGGTTTATCTGCTAAACAATGAATGCATTACTTCTTATTTATTTATTAACATTTGTAATATTTTTTCTACAGCAGAACCTGTGGATGTCCTAAAAGTATTAGAAATTCCCACTGTCCCAGAAGGAGTACAGAAAACTTCAGGATTTTGCACAAACCGAAGAGCATCACAGCCGGACACAGCCTACAAAATAGGCAAGAATGCCCAGATCAGTGCCCCAACCAAGCAGCTTTTCCCAGGTAAGCTGAACCCCATGAACATGTCTCCACATCCTGCCTACATTTAGCTGCGTTTAAATGTGCCCTTTGTTGTGGTTGCCAAGGCTTTTGACAGCAGATGCCATCCCTGATTGTGCAGGGCCATGTTTCACTCAGACGCTTGTATTGTTAAGCAACAGGAGAACTTGGATGAAATCTCTTGACCACAACGTGGCTTGTCTGCTGAGTTGCATAAGAAATTAACAGAAACTTTTAAAGCGATAGTTCACTCAAAAATGAAAATTCTGTCATTTACACACCCTCATGTCATTCCAAATTACTTCGAACAACACAAAAGAAGATGTTTTGCAGAATGTCAAAGCTGCTCTTTTATGTACAAATAAAAATTAATCAATGAACCAATCAAACCCCAATAAAAATACCCATACAAATTGTGTACCATATTCTAAGTCTTCTGAGTTTTTATGATAGGTTTGAGATGCATTATGTAATCGGAAAGTGGTTATAATGTTGCAAATGTTTCTTTATATGGTTGAAAACAGATGCATGTTTATTAATGTATGTTAATACCTGTTTAGCATATATAATGCCATATATCTGGGCCCGTGTTTATCAAGCTTCTCAAAAATTAAAAAAGAAATCACTTGTCAACCTGACAAATATATAGAAAGATTTACAGTTTTTTCCAATTGCTAACATCCCTTTTTCCGATCTGTAGTCACATTTTCAAAATTCTATACACAATTAGCACAACATCCGTCTGTTGTGACCATACCATTAACACAATTTGTGTTATTTTCACACAATTTTCAGTCAATTAACACATTTCTAAAATGCTTACATTTTCTTTTCACACAAGCTTACCCCATACCAAAATCATGGATCTTTCTTAACCTTTTTTTTTTTTTTTTTTTTTTTTTTTTTTTAAAAATTCTTAAACAAAACATGGCAAAAAT